TTATCATTCATATACCTCCCACCTCCCAGCAGAGGAGAGCAGACTCCACAACACTCTGCTTCTCACTGCAGCATTACTGTGTGTGTGTGTGTGTGTGTGTGTCATCACACCTGTGTATGACCATACCTGGAGCTTTATTTCTAGGAGGATGCTGCTTTGATACTTCAGGTGTCTGTGAGGTGTGTTTCTGGAGGAGGTTGAAGAAGAACTTCTTGTTCCTACGGATTGACAGCACAGGTAAGAGTGAAGTTTATCATTCATATACCATCAGTATATATGTCTATGTTATAGTGTTTAATTTTTGATATTTTATTATAGAATAGCCATCATGTCTTGATAGCTCAGTCTGGTCGACAACTAGTGCTTTCTTTGCTCTTCCATTTTTTTGAGAACTTTAGAAGAAAGAAAAGCTGGTTTTTACATTTCAGAAGGGGAAGAGTGAAGCTTTCTGGTTTATTCATCTGCAGGTTACTCCCATGCTGGTCGTTTAGCCGAGTTTTGGAGTTTGGTCGGAAGCCAGACCCTGGAGTGTTAGTGGAACTAGACGCACTAAAGGATTTCAGAGCCTCAAAACTAGAAATGAACCTGCAGATGATAAAAATAAAAATTAAAAAGATGGTTGTGAACATTTTAAATCATTCAATCAGTCATTTGGGTTGGTGACCAAAAATTTGTAGGTAATCGAGCTGATAAATCAAAAATAGTATGTTATGTGTCTCTAATAACTAAAAGGCAGTCAATGAAAATAATGCAGGTTATAGGGCTGGTAACCAAACAATTGTATGTTACTGAGCTGGTAAACCAGAAATAGTATATTATACTGTATGTCTAGCAACTAAAAGTTTTATGTTGGTTGATGAAAATAATGGAGGTCAGCTGGTTACCAATTTATATAGAATAATATGTATATTAATAATATTTAGGTTATAGAGCTGGTAAAGCAATGCGGTACTGTTCATCTGTTAACTAAAAGGGTATAAGTTGGTTGATGAAAACAATGCAGGTCATAAAGCTGGTAACCAAAACATTGTTGGTTATCGAGCAGGTAAACCAAATATAGTACGTTTGTATGTCTAGTAACTAAAAAGTTGTAAGGTGGTCATAGGCCTGGTAACCATATGATTGTAAGTTGAAGGGATGGTAAACAAAATGTTTTAGATCTGGTAATCGAAAGGTTACAGGCCGAGGGGCTGGTAATCCAAATGTTGTAGGTCGTAGGACTGGTAATCTAAGTAAACAACTGTAGGTTGTTAGGCGGGTAAACAAAGAATGGTAGGTCAAAGAGCTGGTAACCAAATGATTGTAGATCAGTTGAAGACTGAAGATGGAAGAACATTTTAATAATCCAAATAACCTTTTTCCAAAATAAAGAACCTTTTGAGGAATGGAAAGGTTCCATGGGTGTTAAAGTTTCATCATGGAACCACAGATGCCAATTAAGAACCTTTATTTTTAAGACTGTAGGGCTGGTAAACAGAAGGCTGTGGATGACCATGTCCTTTGTGCCTAAAGGTCTTAATTTAAGCCCATGGTATACTTCGACTGTCTGCGTAATTTTCACTATCAAGAGGGTCTAAAGACGTCTGCACACACCTTCCTTTAAACCCATTTTTCCTCTGGACATTGACCATATAATGTGTACTGTAAAATGTGTTTTAAAAAACATTTGTAACAGTGAACGGAAGGGCTAAAAACAGAAATGGGTGTTCACTCCCACAAACATAACATTTTAGTTATGAAAATAATTGTTATTTTAATCTTTTTTTTTTCAAACAAATGCGGGTCCATTAGTTTTAGAAAGCAACAGGTAATTTCGGCTAATAGCTTGACCAGAGGACTGGTAAAACAATGTGCTCTTTAATTCTTTGGACTGCTGAACTGACTGTAAGAAAACACAGAGATACCAGCCAACATACCAGCTGGTTGAATGAAAGGAGGATACAGGTGGCTGCAAAACATAAAATGTTGTTTACTGGAAATATACAAAGGCTCGGGTTATACTTTGGGACAGTAGTTAAAGGGGTCATATGATGCGATTTCAATTTTTCCTTTCTTTTTGGAGTGTTACAAGCTCTTGATGCATAAAGAAGATCTGTAAAGTTGCAAAGACTAAAGTCTCAAATCCAAAGAGATATTCTTTATACAAGTTAAGAGTCAACCACGCCTACCTAAAACGGCTCGTTCTAAAACGCCCCCACATGTCTATGTCATGATGTGGGAAGATTTGCATAATGCCACCCAGATGTTCACGCAAAGAAAGAAGGTGTAACTTGTAATTCTCGCTGTAGTATTGTTGTTGCCGCCACCACCACGTCGTGAAGGCGCTGTGTTTCGTTGTGAAAGCGAAACTACTTTGGTTGGCCTTCCAAAAGAGGACGATATCCGCTTCGTCATGCCTGGAGCTGATCCCTGCTGGTCGCTGGGGAAATACATCAACATCACACAAAGCGGAGCCCAGCCTGGGGTCGTCACATGGGGTGGAGTCCATTCCGGGGTCGTCACATGTGGTTGCCGCAAGCCCGCCGGCCGCTCCTTCGTCGGATCCGCCGGCCATGCCGTTCTCAGGCCCGCCCACCTCTGCTCACTCAAGCCGGCCTCCGCATACTTTGACTCACTCAAGGCCGCGGTGTGTATCGTTTTTTCGTTGTGAAAGCGAAACTACTTTGGTTGGCCTTCCAAAAGAGGACGATATCCGCTTCGTCATGCCTGGAGCTGATCCGTGCTGGTCGCTGAGGAAATACATCAACTTCGCACTGTGGATCGCCGGATCGGCTTTCACCGTGGACGATGTGGAGTCCATTCCGGGGTCGTCACATGTGGTTGCCGCAAGCCCGCCGGACGCTCCTTCGTCGGATCCGCCGGCCATGCCGTTCTCAAGCCCGCCCACCTCTGCTCACTCAAGCCGGCCTCCGCATACTTTGACTCACTCAAGGCCGCGGTGTGTATCGTTTTTTCGTTGTGAAAGCGAAACTACTTTGTTTGGCCTTCCAAAAGAGGACACGACAAGAAATCAGTGGTTAAGTTATATTTACAACACTGTTCCAGAACAGTTCAACCCAAATATTCAGATGTGTGCAGCACATTTTATGGAGGACTGTTTCCTGATCCTGGTAGAGTAGACTACAATGCCGGCTGTTCTGACTCACAGACTGTAAGTACGTTTTTTATATTTAAAGAATTTGCCACTAACGATTCAAACGCGATTTTTTTTGGCAGGGTATAGTAGCACTTGTTTGTCATTTCTCCGATCACAAATGCAGACATGGTTTTATGTTACGCTTCGGCCGGACAGGGCATCACAATATGGTAAGGGGCGTAACATTTGCATCAAACGCTTGAGGTATTCGGCCAATCACAATGCTCTGGATAGCAGGCCAATCAGAGCACACCTTGCTTTTCAGAATGATGAGCTTTATAAAAATCGACGCGTTTCAGAAAGGCGGGGCATAGAGGAGAAACAATAACGTACAGTATGTGGAAAATAATGTGTTTTTTGAACCTTAAACCGCATAAACACATTTCATTACACCAAATACACAACATAATGTTCTTTTTAGCAGCATCATATGACCCCTTTAAATGAATGTGGGATACTTTCACAGCATCAAAGAAACATAAGAAGACCTGCTCTGGTCAGAAGGTTCAAGGAGCTCCTCATGCTGAGAGATACTGTCGGCTTGTAAGACCAAAAGCAACGAGCAAGCAAGGCTTTCTGGGTCATAAGATAATAATGCAAACCTTCATGAAGGAAAAAAAGGAGGGAGAGGAATGAGTTATGGAAGGCAACAAAGAAAAGACACTGAATTGTGTGAGAGGAGGCGTCATGCCGGCAGTTCACGAGGAACAGGACTGTTTTCCTATTGGCCTTACAGATCCAAAATTGGGCAGTTTTCCAATTCTAAATGCATCAACTAGCATTGGAAAATTATAAGGGGGGCTTTTAACTCACTAACTGAATCAATCCCATTTCACATTGATGAAATTCACTGTATTGTCTAGTGAAAGGTTTGCAAAAATAATGCAATTTTATGCATCTGAAAGCTAGATAGCTTAGTTGGAACTGCCTGTGAGAAGAGATTGCCACATCATCAAGGCTCTGAAAACCATAATTTAATGCTTCCCAACATTGCTCCCTCGGTCTCTGATGACAGTGTGCTCCCTGGGGCTTACTGTACACCACTAAATCAGAACAACACCCTATTTACAGCGAAACATCAGTTTTTAGCCAGAGGGTTGGGATGTATAGTTTAGTGAATGGGGGAATGAATTACAGTTGGACGTAAAACTTTCTCAGATTTTTCTTTCTGTTACCCCTCCATGTTTACTCTGGTTTGCTGATTGAGACCTATAATCTTTCATTATGTATTATTTAAAATATTATGCATTTTATCCTAAATACTTCCCCTCACGTGCATGCTAGAACTTTTGCTAATGTATACGTATGTCTATCAGAAAACAAACTATTATTTTAATATACTATTAAACTATTAACACAAAATAAACTATTATTTTGTTATTATTATAACAACAATTATTTCTTCACCATGCACTTAACAATATACTTGGTATCACCTTCAGTGAAGACATTTTCAAGTTTGGAGCAACTGCATTTCCAGAGGTGTCCATCATACATATATGGATGAATCTCATGGAAACATGTCTAGGTCACACTTCATACAAAAAAAAGTTAGTTAGTATTTTCATTGTAAGTTTTCATGATAATAAAGTATTATATAATTAAGTATTTCCCCTGTAGACATTAATTACATTTATTATAATACATTATCACTTGTTACATATTACAGTACCAAGAACATAATTATATACACAGGAAATATATAATTTTTAAAAATCTTAATTACATTTATTATTGTATTATTATTATTTTTTTAAATTTTAATTATATTATTTAAAGTATTGTGAAGAAGAGTGATGCGTTTAAAGGTTTACGAAAAGCACTTACACTAAATAAATAAAATAAAATAAAATAAATAGCCCTCTATTCACTTATACTGTATACTATGTTAATGAGCATGGCTCATCTTGTTATCAGCTCAAACTGAAACGGCAACTTGGAAAGTACAAATCAGGATTAATGTGGGGAGCAGCAGTACATCAGTTAGCACACAGCTAACATGAAACATACACTCCATTCTGTTTGAAATCGTTCAATATAACTCAGCTCAAAGTCCAAATGACTGATCACCTCACATTTGTTCTCATGTCTCCACAGGAGCAGCAAGTTGATGATCATCGCACCTTAGCGGGAATATCAGCAAACAACAGCGGAGAAGGAGATGAAGTTTCGATTTGGGCTCAGGATCTCTTTGATCCTGACCATACTGGCTCTGACTCTGTATGGAGGCGGTGTTGAAGGACAAAGGGCAGGTGAGGTCACATACTAGCCTAAATATAATGTTTCCATGACCCCTAACCACATCTCTGTTTAACATTAGCTTGGTGGTTCTAATTTTGACTTTCACTGAGTCTGTTGTAATGTGTGCAGACTGAGGTTTTGAACCTGACGTACTAGTAGCCTCGAGTTCTCTGCAAAATTCAGCCCATGTATTATCCAACCTGACCATGGCGGAAACACAAACCTCATAAATCTGTGGCTAAACTGTATACAGACAGTCTGTAAAATTTAATGTCCTTTGTCCCAGGTTGCAAGAACGTCCACTATGATCTGGTATTCATCTTGGACACCTCTTCCAGTGTGGGCAAGGGAAACTTCGAGAAGATCCGGCAGTGGGTGGCAAATCTGGTGGAATCTTTTGATGTAGGTGCGGAGAAGACGCGTGTGGCTGTGGTTCGCTACAGCGACCGTCCCACCACCGAATTCAACCTGGGCAGGTACAAAACCCTCGAGGAGGTCAAGCGTGCTGCTGGGAACATCCGCTACCTGGGTGGGAACACCAAAACTGGAGATGCCATCAGCTTCACCACCAAAAATATCTTTACAGAGAGGGCAGGGGCGAGGCCTGCCGCTAAGGGCATACAGAAAGTGGCGATTTTGCTAACGGACGGCAGGAGTCAGGATTTTGTTTTGGAGCCATCGATTGCTGCAGCGGCTGCTGGAATCAGGTTGTTCGCTGTAGGGATTGGGGAAGCTCTGAGAGAGGAGCTGGAGGAGATTGCAGCGGAACCCAAAAGTGCTCATGCGTTCCACGTGACGGACTTTGATGCCATTGACAAGATCAGGGGCAGGTTGAGGAGGAGACTCTGTGAAAGTGAGTATTGATGAGTTTGACTTTGCACCATGTACACTCTTAAAAGAAAATAAAGGTTTCTTACTGACCTGCATAGTTGAACTCCAGCCCTAATTAAACACCCCTGAATCACCTAATCAAAGTCTTCAGACTCACTAGCAACATCCAGGCAAGTGTGTTAGAGCTGGTTGAAGCTAAACTCTGCAGGACGTTGGCTCTCCAGGGCCAGGATTGGACACCCCTGCCATAGAACAAGCTTGAAAATTCTGGTCCTCGAGACCCAGTTTAGCTCCAACCTTGATCAAACTCACCTACCTATAGATTTATTGTAATCCTGAAGACTTTGATTAGCTTGTTCAGGTGTGTTTTATTACGGCTGAAGCTAAGCTCTACAGGAAAGTGGGCTAAAGTTGCCCATCCTGCCTTGGAAGAACTATTTTGGGTTCCCCAAAGAACCTTTCAGTGAACATTTCTTAAAAGAACCATTTTTTTAGTGTGAAGAACATTTTGATAATCTAAAGAACATTTTTCCACTACAAAGAACCTTTGGCATAGTGGAAAGGTTGTTAATCAGGGGAGTCTAAACCTGTTGCTGGAGGGCCACTGACCTGGGGTGCGTTTCCCAAAAGCATCGTTAGCCAACTATGGTCGCAAGTTCCATCTTTACCAACACAGTTCAATGATTTGGTGTCTCCCGAAACCATAGTTCAAACGAACATTCGCAAACAGCGCCGCAAACTTACGTGGTAGGAACTACAGCTCCCGACCTGTGGTTAAAAAGCATAGTTTCTTGTTAGTAAGACATATGGACTTAAATAAATTATGCTTTTGGGCACAATAAGCAAGCTCAAGTCAAGTCAAGTCTGCTTTATTGTCAATTCTTCCACATGTACAGCACATACACACAGAGAATTGGAATTGCATTACTCTCAGACCCTTGGTGCATACAGATAACATAAATACAGATAGGTACAGATTAAATACAAAATACAACTATACAAATATACAAATAAGGTCAAATGTAAAAAAATATATATATAAAGCACAAGGCATATGGCAGACAGAGTGCAAACCAGTAAAAGTAAACAACAGTGCAGATATAATGATTGTAGTGCAAAAAACAATGATTTGTAGTGCAAAAGAGCTTATTTCGACTGATTAAAGTGACAGTGTGTGTGTATTTGGGAGGGGGGGAGTGGGAGAGTCCATCAGAGGGTCAGAGTTCAG